ATTACATGGTGCATAGCAGAAGTGCATAGGAAATGAGGCATCTATGTTTAAACTTCTAAAACTACATAAATAAACCAAGAACGCATGCACACTCTTGTTATAAGAAACATATTACAACCATGCCCACATGGGATCTGCACATGCAGAACTTAGTATTTAATTTATTAAACATTTTAACTTTTATAACACTTTCAGCTTTAAATACATGTAAGAGTACCATTAAGCACATTTTACCATATTTAAATCCATAAAAATCTGTTACAAAATGGAAACAAAGTCTGCAGATTCCGCCTGCTTACAATTTAGCACCCGATATATACATGCATGACATGCGCAGTATCTCTTCTGTTGTCAGTAAAGACATTCTTAGCTGCATTCTGCACTAATGGAAACATAATGAGGAACACAGAGGAAATGTGTTTGCTCGCATGCACGATTTACATTGCACTTGAAGTGAAATGGCTATAATAAATGAAAGCGTTCATGTGGCTCAGCATATAAATTGTTTAAACCTCAGTCAGAAGAAATGTTGTCTGTTTGCAAATATTATGAAAAAGGAGTTAACCAGAATCACAAGTAGTTGACTAAAACAGCAGCATTATTAAAAGTGACGTTTGTATTTTTATAATGTTGAAATACTTTCTCATATCCCAGTTTAATATACAGAGACAACTATAAGTAAGCCATTCGTAGGTTGATGCCCCTGAAAAGTAAACACTGTCGGTTGGTGGCATTAAAACAATGCTTTTGTTTGGTTTGAGCATCTCATCCTGACATAGCAACACTGGCTCAAAAAATGGTATCAGTTTGAGGGCGGGGCTATGTGTTTGTCCAACCAATGGAAGACAGGAACAGGGCTCAAGTAGTGAGGACCAGATCAGGCCAGTAGTTCAGATTTGTATTTGGCCCACTAACATTGTTGTTTGTTTAATTTTAATCATTATATTTTATATGCATAAGAAAAATATGTTTCATTTAAAGTTACATTTCCTGTACAATAAAATATATTTCAATCATGACAACTCCCGGAACATTTTAGAATGGTGATGGATATGACAATGTTAATGTACAGGTGCATCTCAATAAATTAGAATGTCATGGAAAAGTTCATTTATTTCAGTAATTCAACTCAAATTGTGAAACTCGTGTATTAAATAAATGCAATGCACACAGACTGAAGTAGTTTAAGTCTTTGGTTCTTTTAATTGTGATGATTTTGGCTCACATTTAACAAAAACCCACCAATTCACTATCTCAACAAATTAGAATACTTCATAAGACCAATAAAAAAAACATTTTTAGTGAATTGTTGGCCTTCTGAAAAGTATGTTCATTTACTGTACATGTACTCAATACTTGGTAGGGGCTCCTTTTGCTTTAATTACTGCCTCAATTCGGCGTGGCATGGAGGTGATCAGTTTGTGGCACTGCTGAGGTGGTATGGAAGCCCAGGTTTCTTGACAGTGGCCTTCAGCTCATCTG